AAAATTAATTAAGGATAATAAGTATAATATTTAAAAATAATAATAAAAAATAAAACAAACGGGTCAACCCATCAACTTGCGGATTGACCCTAACCCGACCCGTGACTCATACAGGTTGATAATATGAGTTATCTACGGGTTGTGGATTGAAATATGTAGACCCTAACCTGTTTTTTACGGGTCGGGTTAGGATCAGGTTGACTGGTTGGGTGAATTTTTGCCAGATCTACCTCCAAAGCATCACTCTAGTGCTTCTCAGTTTCTTTCATACCAAAGGCTCGACGTAATTTCTTAGAGCTTCTCAAAAGTTATTAATTCTTGAAGAGGTGTATGGCTAAACTTGTGCTTTTAAACCTAAAAACTCTTTTTACAAGCTACATCAAACACAAATTTGATATCAAATATGAAGCTAATTTAGTACTCCAAATGAATGCATTCATTACCTTGAACACTGTTGCAAAATGTCCTTCGCCGAGCTTATTTTTGGCAGAGAAGTTATCAGTTGCTCGCCGGATCACTTGCAAATCAAATTGCTGAGGTACAGTATGCAATTCAGATGGAGCTGCCAAAAGCAACTCATGGGTCAAAAAAGTAGTTATACACATACTCCAATGATTGAGCCATGATCTAATAGACAAATACACCAAACAAATTATATTATGAAAATTTTTCCTGTTGATCAAATTATCCAAAAGGAAACTTATTAAAAGCAACACATAGCAGTAAAAGTTATTTGCATTCTCCGGCAGGAGTGGATTTTAAACATGTAATAACTTACCCTTAACAGTACTACGCTTTCTGGGTATTAAAAAGATACAAAGAGAAATGGCGATGACAAATAACAGAATGCCTGCAACAGAATAGGCTGAGATGTTGTCATTTCCTGCAAAACCAGAAGTTTGGACCCAATTACTGCTTTAATTTTGTAATCTAATTAGCAGAGAGTACCAAAAAAAAAAATAAATAAATAAAAGAAATATTTTTCATCATCAATAGCTTGTAATGCCTTTGCAACGATTTATGGAATAGTTACCTTGTACTGGATGCGGTAAAGACTGCTGTGGTATGACATCAACAGCTGCAAAAAATGGGTTAATCTCATATCTCACATTACAGCTCGGTTGAACTACCCTACATCCTGTTCTTCCGTAGCAGGAAGTTTCAATCCTCTCAATGGCCGTCGCCAGACAAAAGCTGCAATCTAGCAGGGACAGATCTGGAGTACACTGTTCTAGGGCGTAGATTCTTGGAAATGATTCGGTGCTACCGGCCGCAAACTTGCGAAAAGGCCCTCCCGAGGCCGCACGGCTAGTTAAATCATTCAACAAAGAACTCAACACATGGTTGAAGCCATCAAAATCCGATGCGTTACCACTATATAGTACATCGGAAGGATAGGTTTCCACAACACCGAAAATTTCATTGCTTGAGTAGCGAACCATGCAGAAATCCGACCACCCGACCGCCTTTTTGTAGTCAGAGCAACGCCGCTGGAGCTCCGAGATTGTCTGGTTCAGGCAAATTCTGCAAGCGCCCTCCATTTGGTCTCCTCTGCAGAGTCCGATGGCGTTGACCTTGTTAGGGCTCCCGCCGATGGATATACTAGAGAAACCATAATTGAAATCCTCGACGGACGAGAGTTGGGTGAGGAGAAGACGGAGATTGGCACCGTAGGCACTGCTAGCGATGAAGATTTCATTGCTTAAACAATTATACTGGAAGGAAGGGTCGGTTTCTGCTGCACAACTGAGATTTAGGAGAAAAACCAAGGAAAGAATTAACAGATACCCCGCCATGACCTTGCCCTGAACCCGGAAATGAAAAAAAATGAGGAAAGAATAGAAATTTGAAGATACTACTACAACAGCAATTGATTTGCACTGCATAGTTTATGAACTGTCAAAAGTTGGCACCAACAAGTTGCCTTGGTTAGGGGCATTGAACTCATAGCAAATTGCAGAGTTTTGTTCGTGGCAGCCAAGTTATCCTCCTCTTTTTCCCAAATTTCACACGTTCAAAATGTTCAAAAGAGAACAGTGAAAGTTGCTTTTCTAAAAGGTTAAATACCCAATTTGGTCTCTCAACTTTTATTTTTAAACCAAATCCACCCTTAAACTTCAAAAAGTATCAAAAGTGTCCTCAAATTTTAATTTTTAGTACCAATCTAGTCTTCTTTCTTTAGACAAAAGTGCCAATTATCACGTTTAATTGTCAAAAATTCGCACCTTTTTAAAAAAATAATGACATGAAAAAATAAAACGCAAAAGGTATGATAATGTGGTATTTTTAAATTCTAAGTGGCATTTTAACCAAATTTAAATCACTAAACCAATACTCACCATTGCACTACCCAATGGATACATCTTAAAAGCACAGAAAACCCTACATCTAATCTCCAAGCGGTCACACCCTTTCTCTTTGTGCACTACTAACTTCTTCCTCTCCGAGGACAATAACAATGATAGTGACAACGACAACGTGGTGCTCTTCCTCCCTCTCCTTTCTTCCTTCCTTCCTTCCTTTCTCTTTCTCCCTTTTCCCATGGCTCGATCTTCTT